TGAGGATGAGTTAAATGAATTAATTTGTACTACATATATTGATAATATGCATCTGCCTTTCTGTATCTTGTCTCATCAGAACTTCACAGTTAAGCGTGCTTGACTTGAAGTAATATAAGGATAGGTGACCTTTTGGGAAGTTTCCCAGAAACTGTGCAACAAGGGTGAAACACGCTAAAAAGTGAAGTGTCGTGAAATAGAATCCTTAAAAGGTCAAATATGAGGGTTGTTACATTAATAAATTTATTAAAATTAAACAATTTTTTGACAGATTTATTCGTCGGTAATTTCTAACAGATATATTCGTCAGAAATTTCCGACGGGTAATTACCGACAAATGTATTCGTCAGAAATTTTTTACTGATTTTTTTTTCGACGCTGATTTTTTCGACAGATTTGCATCAGATGGATTTTCCTTCTTTTTGACGGATATATCCGTCGAAAATTTGCATTTTTCTTGTAATGTATATACAACTTTTATGGTCCATGTTTTCTTTGTACATATTTTTTTGTAAATATTTTCTTATTTTTTACCTTTTATTTTTTGGTCAAAAAGTTTAGAAATTTAGTTCCTTGTAATTTTCTTTTTGGTGTGTATTTAGTATTTTTGGGGGTATAACTATTATTTGAAAAATGTGCTTATTGGGTTTGTTTGGGCCATGAGAGAGTGGAGAAATTTCTCCAAGTGAGTGGACATCCACTCCTAAAAGGATTCTCTCTCATTAGTTCAAACATAATTCATCAAGTCACATGTTCTCCACACTAATCACACTTTATGCACGGTTGTTTTCACATCCCTTTTTTACTAACACACTCCTCATCCCACCTTTTTACACCATATCATATGGAAAACTCTCATTTTTTCTTCTAGATCTAGGATGTTGACATTTTTAAGAGGAAAATTTCAAATTTGAATTTTAAATTTGAACTAGAGTTAGTTAGCATGACTACAAGTTAACCTGCCTAGGGAAGGCAATAGGCAGGGTCTTATAATATCCATCTTCATATCCGTGTTTAAAAATAATACTTGTACCCAACCTTATACTCGTGCAAATAGAAATTTTAACCCCCATCTTGGTATTTGTTTGGTACCTATATATATACTCATACTCGCACCCGTGACTCGCATTTTACTTATACATAAAATAAATAAATTAATAAAGAAATAACATTTCACACAAACAAAATAAATTAATAAAGAAATAACATTTCACACAAACAAACATAATATTAATTTGTCAAGTCTTTAACATTACAAAAATCTAACATAACAATTTTATAAATAAAGATTACAAAACATTCAATTCTTGTAAATAAACTTTTAAAAAAATAAACATAATAAAAGTTGTAATTAAACTTCCAATATTAGGATTATGTGTTAACAATATTCTTTAAGATCTATGAAAAAAATTGTACAAAAATTAGTTAGATTAAAATTATATATTAAATTATATTCTATAAATCTCAAAAAATAAATATGTAGATATTTAATCTTATCATCAAAATCAACTTCTTCATTGTGACACCCTCTACCCCACATACATAATACACAATAAATATAAAGTACATTCCTGAGTAAATAAAACTTTCTTAAAAATAAGGTTTCAAAACACATAGATAGAGAGTTCACATTCATATTTCGCAAATCGTAGTCCAATGCGGAAATGATAACAAAATAAAACATCAATCTTTCCAAAACACAATAACAGTAATGAAACTCCAATGCTAAACCTAGCTAAGCCCTGTGTCACACATCCTATCAGAGCATGCCCAACTGAAACTTAAGCTTCATCACTAACATCCTCATGCTGATGATGTAACACCCCAGTTTTCATACCATTTATTGAGGGTAATTGAGTAATTTTCATAAATTTACAGGGGTGGTTTAATAGCCCAGAACGGGCCGTTCCAGTCTACTAAAACAAGGGTAATTTAGTAGCCTAGAACGGGTCATTCCAAAATTGGAACGGGCCATTCCAAACTATTAAAAAGGCTTGTAATCCTAGTTTAAAACGGGGCGTTCCAAATATTGTCGTTATGGGTTAAATGCAACCCTAGAACGGGCCGTTCTAGTTTGAGAACAGGTCATTCTGGATGTGAATTTTACACATAACGTAAGAGTCCAGAACGGGCCGTTCTGGCGACGCCTGATGCCTATAAATAGAGAGATTTGGCACTCCCAAAAAAGCACACTTTCAGTTCTGACTTCTTTCAGTTTTGACTTCTTTTCTTCTTTACTCTCTTCTCTTCTTCTGCACTCTCTGAAGACCGAGGGGAACGCAACAGAGGAGACCAACCAGATCCTGCTTAGTTTCAGCTACTATTTATCAAGGTACGAGGGAAAAAGGGAATTATTTGTATGTAGAGTTACATGAGGGAATTGGGTAGAGGAAGAATTCCTTAGGATTATAGGTAATTTTATAATTATTTATGTTTGAAGAATTAATGATCCCATTAGATTTTACATATATTGAGGATTAGAAATATATATTTAATTTGTGAAAATGATGATTTGGGGGAGAGAATGAAATTGTAGAAAAGTGTCTGTATGTTAGGTTTTAGAAAAATTGGAAGTTTTACTATTTGATTTAATATTATATTAAATTGGTGAATTAATTGTTTTATATTATTGTTATAGATGAGCATTCATGGTGAATTTCTTAATGGGTATGTGAATCATTGCATTGTGTGACCTTATCAATATGTAATATGGAATTTGAGTTATGAAATGAGATGTGTGGAATGTGAATGAGATGTGATTGTGGATTCTCGTACTGATGACCAGGAGTGAGCACGACCCTAGGCAGCTAAAAAGGGTAGCGTGACCTTGGCATAGTGTTATGTCAGGGGTGAGCACAATCCTAGGCTGGAAAAGTGTAGCTTGACCTTGACATAGTAAGATTTGTGTGAATTATGGATGTGAAAATGATAAAGTTAATTACAAGATTTGTGATGATTGGTGTGATTGCGAATTGTGACATGATGATGCATGATTGATAGAGTTAGGATATATTGAAATGTTTATGAATATTTTATTAAGTATCGAGTTATAATGAGATGATATGTTGTGTTTTCCTTATGTGCTTTACATATAGGTGTTTTCTTTTCTCACTGTACAATTTGTGGATGTTTTATAGGTGAGGAAGATCCAGCTATGAGTGACATTTAGAATGCTAACATAGTTGAGTTGTGGGTGTGCTCTGATAGTGTGACATTGGGGCAGAGGATCTTAGTATATAAATATTTAATTGGAGTTGTATCTTTCTTTTAAAAACAAATTGTAAACTCTTATGTTTTATTTTTTCCAAGTTTCAATTATCTTGAATATTGAGGAATAATTATGAAGGTTTTATGTGAACCCTTTTACCAATGTTGGAAATTTTATTCTTTAGTTTATTTACATTTTTACAATATATATATGTTGGGGTAGTAAGGGTGTCACAGATGATCACCTGCAACACAATTTAAATACATACAAAGAACAACAAAGGAGTGAGAAATATCTCACTCGGTTCTAGGTGCAGAAATAAAGGTTAGATAGTACACACACACAACAAACATAAGTCACATGTAAACAATACACAGGCACAATCAATATCACATGCACACTCATTTATCATGCAATAATGTCATGGACTCGACTCATAAATGCATGCATGTGGCGTTATACGGAAGTTTCACATTTCTCATCATTTCATCACATAGCTTGTTACATCACTGGTATGCGACCTAAGCGGCACACTTAGAATAATTCATTTCATCACATAACTTGTTACATCACTAGTGACCCTACGGTACACCTGGTTAGTTTGTTACATCACTAGTGACCCTAAGGTACACCTGGTTAGTTTGTTACATCACTAGTGACCCTAAGGTACACCTTGTTAGCTTGTTACATCATTGGTATGCAGCCTAAGCGGCACACCTGGAATATATCATATATGCACATGATGCATGTCACACATTCACTATTTCATTAACTCAACATTTCACTTGTCATGGAATTTCATGTCTCATATCATCACATTTCACATTCTCAGTCATATCTTATCTCATTTCATCACATTTTACATTCTCATAATCATAGCTTATCTCATTTCATCATGTTTCACATTCTCATGCACATCATGTCTCATGTCATTTGTTCATATTTTACATAGTCATATTCATAATTGTTCCTCATAGGGTTCTGTACAAGTACCCACAGAGCACTCTAATTCATATCAAAACTTATCTAATTTTGAAATCAAATACATATTTACACTCTACATAACACAAGGAACACAACAGAACAATCATAAAGAAAAACATAAAACATTCATATTTGGCATGTTTCTCATAGGGTTCTCTCAAGAACTCATAGAGCACTCTAATTCATATCAAAATTTGTTTACTTTTAAAATTAATCACATATTCATACATCACATCCAACAAGGAACACAATAGAACAATCAGAAGACAAAACAAAAAACATTCATATTTTTCCCGTTCCTAGAAAAAGTCAAAGTTAGAGCGGAATCTGGTTGATCTCCTTCTCTTGGTTCTCCTTGGTCTCCAGAGAGTGTGTCCAGAAAACAATGTCAGAGTGCTCTATTTATAGATTTCAGAAGTGGCCAGAATGGCACGTTTCAGATTCGGAACGACCCGTTCTGGATCCTTTCATCATGTGGAAAATTCACATCTGGAACCGCCCCTTCTCAAACCAGAACTTCCCGTTCCAGAGATGAGTTTTAACTCACAACGTCCACACATCACAAATCTTGTAATTAACTTTATCATTTTCACATCCATAATTCACACAAATCTTACTATGTCAAGGTCAAGCTACACTTTTCCAGCCTAGGATTGTGCTCACCCCTGACATAACACTATGCCAAGGTCACGCTACCCTTTTTAGCTGCCTAGGGTCGTGCTCACTCCTGGTCATCAGTACGAGAATCCACAATCACATCTCATTCACATTCCACACATCTCATTTCATAACTCAAATTCCATATTACATATTGATAAGGTAAAATGAACGCTCTAGTATAACGTTCCAATTGTTCCTGGCTATGTATATGCTCAGAAACATCCGAAAAGTGCCGATCAATCCAGCTCATCCTCAATCGACCGCCACAAACCATTGCCTCAGGGGGTGTCATGCCAAGAAGGCGTTGCACAAGAGCTCCCCAATCCATAGTTGCGTATCCAGTAATAGGTGCCCTAGAGATCTTCAACCCAAGTAAAATTGCGACATCCTCCAACGTGATAGTACACTCGCCGAAGGGCATGTGAAACATGTGGGTCTCTGGTCTCCATCGCTCAACTAACGCAGATATTAAGTGATTGTCCACTGGAAAGTAACTAATCTGCGCCATCCCCATAAAACCAGCCCTCTGTAGAAGATCCTGAACAGCAGCTGAAATGTCACCACCACGCAACTCTGATTGTTTTGCACTCCTAACCTTCAGAACCCTATCTTCAGCTCCATTCCATATATGCTCAGATATATGGAATGGTTGAAGCCTTAATAATGAATCATCCATAGGTCCTGCATGAATCAATTGTGTAGACATCTTGATATAATTCAACACACAAACAAATTAAATATTAAACTCAAAAAACTAATTAATTATAAATTTTATAAATGCCTAAATACCTAATTTAATCCCTCATAATAATTCAAAATTTTCAAATGAAATCCTTCATTACTGCAATGAGAACGGCCCGTCCTGAAACTAGAACCGGCCGTTCTCATGCCACAAAACGTGTATAAAATTGGGTTTTGGAACGGCCCGTTCCGAAAGCAAAACGGGCCGTTCTGACCCCTTCCATTTCTCACTAAATGAAACACTCAGAACGGCCCCACAACGGCCCGTTCTACATTCAGAACGGCCCGTTCTGAAAGTAGAACGGACCGTTCTGATTTCAAAACAGCCGTTCCAGATCCAAAATAACACCAATTTAATTCAATCAGAAAGGCCCGTTCCGAAAACAGAACGGGCCGTTCCACACCCAGAAACCAGTGACGCATAGCCCTAAACATTTTGTATTTAAATTTTTTTCTAAATTTAAAATAAATAAACTAAAAAACATACCTGATAACAAAGTTGTAAATATAATTTTGTACTACTGGTAAAATCGTTTTCTCAGAGCGCCAGGACCTCAAGCGTTTTCTAAATATGTTATCTACCCCTTCCTCTTCTTCCGGACACCATTTAAACACAAAATGGGGCTGCTACATGGCAAAACGCCTGGGGGGGAGGCGCCTTCAGAGCGCCACGTGTACAAAACGCCTGCCCCCCCAGCGCTTTCAGCTCCGTGCCAGGTCAACATATAAGGCGCCTGGGGGTGGGGCACCTTCACCTCAGTGATGCCACGTGTATAAAACGCCTCCCCCAGCGCTTTCTCCTCACCCTGCCACATCAGCATAGAAGGCGCCTGGGGGGAGGAGTTTTCTAAAAAACGCCCACCCCCCAAGCGTTTTCAGTGCCATGTGTGTGCTGACTTGTCCAAAACTACCTATTTCAGTAATTAGTTTTTTTTTTAATTTATTTCATGTATTTTTAATTTTTTTTTTTAATTTACTGAGGTCAAAAAGCCCATTCTTTTGTGTTGGAGACTTGTTAAAGCATAGTCAAATTAATTTCTCTGGTGGTTTGTTATGCCCAAGACCAGCCCAATATTTCCATATATTCCCATTTAAATATTAGGCCCAATGAATATAGTTTTTTTTTTTTAATCGTGATTATGTATCTCATTCTTTATTTTTTTTATTATTACTTTTTATTATATAGCCTTGTAATGATTGATGGAATTTAAGCAGAAATTAGTCTCAATTCTCAAAATCTTCCTTCTTAAGAGACCCTCTGTCCTAAAAAATACGGAAATTACTCGTAAACCTAACATTTGATGCCTTTTTTTTTTAGAGTGACTCTTACATTGCATGTTTAAGGCATCAAACACTCGAGCGAAAGCCGGAAGAAATTACTACAATTCCAAACCACCGCACCCGCCAAGTTGGACGAATTGTCCTTTCATGTGGTGACCTCGAAAAATTGATCATCCATAGCGCTGTTGAGTCACTATTATAATTAAATTAGATTTTTTCTAAAAAATTATAATTAAAAAATAATTTAAATCATTCTTCACGGAGACAAAAGCATTTAATTTGTATTTTATCACACAAAATTAGTAAGGGAGTTTAATATTTCAAAACAATATTTAACCAGCAAAATAGAGAATTAAGAATCAAAAATTCAATTAGAGAAGTATCGATTCAAAGTTTTAATATGTAAGGTAAAATTTTCATAGTTTAAGAATAAATATGAATTTTCAATCAATCTTACTCAAGAAGAACTTAATCAAAATATATTTAAATCTAGATCTATGAATTCTATCAAAACATGAAATACAATCGCGATCTCATAATTTTAATAAAATTCAAGAACAATAAAAGGTTGAATTAGATAATTTAGGTTATTTTAGTTTTAAATCTAAATATAAGTTTAGATATAAAATTAATTTTCAATCTCTGTTCTAAATTCAAAACGAAATTCACTATCATGAAGAATGAAAATTAAACATAAAACAAAGACGAATAGAATAGATAATTCATTCGGTAAAAGCATCAGGACTGTAATTCTTGAAACCTAGAATCAATTAACTAACTAGCCACACATCATAATCATGTTGTAATAATCCAATTCATGTAAGTAAGAAAGAAAATCCGAGAGAGAGAGAATTTTTTAGACTTCTAAGAAAAAAAACTCAGTTTTTGAAAAATGAGATATATAATATCAAGTGTACATGCTTTACACTTATTTATAAATTACACTAGAGAGCCTAATCAGAGTAATTAAAGACCCAATTCACTAATTAACTAATTAAATCACTAAACAAATTTTAACATTACATTTTAAAAATAAGAAGAAAATATTGGGTAGGATTGCAATTTTGAAATGCATTTTTGAGTTACTTAACATTCAAACTAGCCTTTGCTCTTAGTAAATAAGTTGTAGAACTCTCTCTTATTTTTCTAGGGACATGAGGAACATCCAAAACCAATATCGGAAGCTATAGATATGGCTTACACAAATCAAAGCTAATATATTACAGTATGATACTAATAAAAGTCAAATAAACTAAAATCAATGCATAGAAAGATATAAAATTTGGTCTATCAATCACCATCTTCCTCTCATTATTCCCTTCATTTCTTTTCTTCCCCTGCACGACAAAATCATTTTCTCAAGCTTGAGATATCACGTTCAGAGGGTTCCCATCCTCTCGGTTGGATTTTCTATAAGGGTGTAAGAAGGTATGGATAACCTGCGAACCCATACTGGCCCAAATCAATCCAATGAATTCGGATCAAATTTTTTTAGTGTCCAGGTCAGATCCAACCCAACTCGATCAAAATCCGGTACTATACAGATTGGGGAACGGGTTTTGTGTTTTTAATCCAACCCAACCCGATCATTTATAATAATAATAATAATAATAATAATAATAATTATTATTATTATTATTATTATTATTATTATATCTATTTTAAAATATTTAATTTTTTTTAAAAAATAAATAAATATAATTATATTGACCCGATTAATTCAACCTAACTTAACTCATTCATGATTAGATTGAGTTTGATTGGGTTGAATAACAAATTCATCTAAACCTGACCTAATTCAACCTGCTTGCACTTCTAATTTTCGAAGTTTCTAAATGTTTTTCACTACCACAACACGACGACGGAAGAAGAATGCATCATCGTGGCATCATTTTACTTAAATACGGAACATCTCTAGCTTCGTACCAATGGATGTACCACAACAGTCAGATTCATTCACGACAATAGTTTCTATTCCCTTTTATAGGAACAAACCACTTTTTATCTAGAAGCGGATAACCAAGAAGCCCATGATTGAAGAACTTCAATTGAATACTTATTGCACCCATTTTCTCACGAGAACAGTTTCATTTCCAATCTCAAGCCTGAAATTAAAAGGGACGTAATTGCTTTGCAGACCTCTTGGTCTCCGTCAATTAACTGAGGCTGAAATAGTTGAACGACCAGAAAAAGGGCTCTATTAGTGTGGTGCCCATTTTTTCTTGTTCGTTTATATGGAAGAAGAATGACCCCTCAAGACCTTGTTGTTGGTCTCAAGTTATTAGGCCCAAGCCCTCATATAGGCCAGGCACTTGAGATCACAATTTACAAATCATGTTCAACCATGAGGGTAAGGTTGGCCTTGATGAGGAAGGTATTGTTATGCCCAAATCTAGCACAATATTTCCATATACCCCCATTTAGATATTAAGCCCATAGAAATAATTCTATCGTGATTGCGTATCACATTATGTTATGAATTAATCATCCATATATTAAGTAGTTTAAAAAATTTTATACTGACAACCAATCAAATCTTTTAATTTATTTTATTTTATTTTTATTTTATTAAATAAGTAACTGACATGTCATTATAAAAAAATATGATTGGTTGTCAATGTAAAAAAACTTTACACTAACAGTGTATAGGTAATTAACTCTTATGTTATTACTTTGTTATTACCTACTATTATAAAAGCCTTGTAATGACTCTGATGCAATGGAAGCAAAAATTAGTCTCAATTATCTCAATTTTTTGTCCTTCTTAGGAGGCCCTCTGTCTTGAAATTAATAAATATACCCATAAACGTAGTAGGCAATAGTAACATATTAAGACATGGGTTACAGACAAATTCACTATTCATTTAATATCATTATAGTAGCTGACAATGGAGAATAATGTATGTTTTTATGTTTGATGAACTCGATACTCATAATTAATTTAACTCTTAAAAAATATGAACACCATTATTGTTTGTTATGTTAATCAGTATGTAAAATTTTTTTTTGAGTAACTTATGAACCAAAATTTCTTACTGGGCTATATTTAGTCTATTAATTTTTATTTATTACTTTTTAAGTTAAATTTTGTTTGTGATTAACTTTGTGTTTGCATTGTTGTGTGTTTCTTGTGAAAAAGAGTCAAACATCTAAAATAAATCTGAAAAATTTTTCAACTTCGGCCTTTTCACTTGTAAACTCCTATTCTTTTTTCTTTTTTTTTGTCTTTCGTAATAAGTAAAGGTTTGTGTTCGAGTTTTCAAGAATTGGACTTCTTTTTATTTTTTTTATTTAAAATTCAGTATTTTCATTCATTTGTTTTGTAACAACTACTACTTTTTTAACAATATTTTTTTCTTCTTCAATTTATCCGTTAGTAGCTAACTTTTTGAAAAGATTTTTTGTATTGGTTTGTTGTGGTTGTGACACGTGTTTAAACTTGTGGTTTCTGTTTTCTTTCTTTGTGTGTAACATATTTTTATTTTATGATGAGTGATGAATATCCAAAATAGCCATTTTTTAAGAATATGCAACAAAAAAAAAATGAAAAAAAAAAAAAAATACAGCAAAGAGGTTAACTTGGCTTTACCTATTAATCTTTATATTTATCCAAGTTTTTTGTTTTAGGTTCGTCTCTTTTAAAATTATAGGCGG